ATTGCATGACATAAGTATTTGATACATCAGAAAAGCAGAACTTAATATTTGGTACAGAAACCTTTGTTTGCAATTACAGAGATCATACGTTTCCTGTAGGTCTTGACCAGGTGTGCACACATTGCAGCAGGGATTTTGGCCCACTCCTCCATACAGACCTTCTCCAGATCCTTCAGGTTTCGGGGCTGTCGCTGGGCAATACGGACTTTCAGCTCCCTCCAAAGATTTTCTATTGGGTTCAGGTCTGGAGACTGGCTAGGCCACTCCAGGACCTTGAGATGCTTCTTACGGAGCCACTCCTTAGTTGCCCTGGCTGTGTGTTTTGGGTCGTTGTCATGCTGGAAGACCCAGCCACGACCCATCTTCAATGCTCTTACTGAGGGAAGGAGGTTGTTGGCCAAGATCTCGCGATACATGGCCCCATCCATCCTCCCCTCAATACGGTGCAGTCGTCCTGTCCCCTTTGCAGAAAAGTATCCCCAAAGAATGATGTTTCCACCTCCATGCTTCACGGTTGGGATGGTGTTCTTGGGGTTGTACTCATCCTTCTTCTTCCTCCAAACACGGCGAGTGGAGTTTAGACCAAAAAGCTCTATTTTTGTCTCATCAGACCACATGACCTTCTCCCATTCCTCCTCTGGATCATCCAGATGGTCATTGGCAAACTTCAGACGGGCCTGGACATGCGCTGGCTTGAGCAGGGGGACCTTGTGTGCGCTGCAGGATTTTAATCCATGACGTGCGTAGTGTGTTACTAATGGTTTTCTTTGAGACTGTGGTCCCAGCTCTCTTCAGGTCATTGACCAGGTCCTGCCGTGTAGTTCTGGGCTGATCCCTCACCTTCCTCATGATCATTGATGCCCCACGAGGTGAGATCTTGCATGGAGCCCCAGACCGAGGGTGATTGACCGTCATCTTGAACTTCTTCCATTTTCTAATAATTGCGCCAACAGTTGTTGCCTTCTCACCAAGCTGCTTGCCTATTGTCCTGTAGCCGGCCCATCCCAGCCTTGTGCAGGTCTACAATTTTATCCCTGATGTCCTTACACAGCTCTCTGGTCTTGGCCATTGTGGAGAGGTTGGAGTCTGTTTGATTGAGTGTGTGGACAGGTGTCTTTTATACAGGTAACAAGTTCAAACAGGTGCAGTTAATACAGGTAATGAGTGGAGAACAGGAGGGCTTCTTAAAGAAAAACTAACAGGTCTGTGAGAGCCGGAATTCTTACTGGTTGGTAGGTGATCAAATACTTATGTCATGCAATAAAATGCAAATTAATTACTTAAAAATCATACAATGTGATTTTCTGGATTTTTGTTTTAGATTCCGTCTCTCATAGTTGAAGTGTACCTATGATAACAATTACAGACCTCTACATGCTTTGTAAGTAGGAAAACCTGCAAAATCGGCAGTGTATCAAATACTTGTTCTCCCCACTGTATATGTAATGGAAAATGGACACTGTCCATTTGCTGTACATTTGCAATATTAAACTGCACCTAACTAGTTGAAGATGGACACATTTTATACAGAAAATCACATAAAATCACAGATCACATAGAGCTCCAAAACCTGCCTTAACAGATCCGCCTTAACACGCCTCAACTGGACCTATAACTTTTTTCTACAAAAAACATAAGTTTTTTATAATCACGAAGATGACGTTGTACGATTTCTCATAAACCACGATAGTTAAATTGCTGGTTCCATTTTTTTCACGTGCAGCGGTCAAATTAGCGCTGTATTACCATTTTCGACCTTTAATCCCAGAAAATGTGCATTAACTCAAAGAGCATTGTAACCTCGACGCCATCTTGTTTTCAGGCTAAAAATACATCTGGGCCGCCCCTCTGCTCACCGAGTTTCGTCTTTGAAGTCTGTTCCGTTTACGAGAAACGGCCATGTCCATTTGGCTGATGAAATCTCCATTTGCAATATGCTGCGGATCGCTACACTGTGGAATTGTCCGGTACTGCAAAAATAACCACAAAAAAAGAAACATCTATATCTCGGAAACGGAGTATCCTGGAAACTTTATTTCGTGACCCGAGGCCGTCGCCCTATTTTTAGCACACCCGCGGACGTCTAGTAAGGGACCGTCCATTTGCCATATGAAAACTCCCATTGATCATATGGCCCGTGCCGTTTGGGGCACTTATGTAGGTCTGGGCATTGACTAGGCCATTCCAAGACATTTAAATGTTTCCCCTTAAACCACTCTAGTGTTGCTTTAGCAGTATGCTTAGGGTCATTGTCCTGCTGGAAGGTGAACCTCCGTCCCAGTCTCAAATCTCTGGAAGACTGAAACAGGTTTCCCTCAAGAATTTCCCTTTATTTAGCGCCATCCATCACTCCTTCAATTCTGACCAGTTTCCCAGTCCCTGCCGATGAAAAACAACCCACAGCATGATGCTGCCACCACTATGCTTCACTGTGGGGATGGTGTTCTCTGGGTTTGCGCCAGACATAGCGTTTTCCTTGATGGTCAAAAATCTCTGACCAGAGTACCTTCTTCCATATGTTTGGGGAGTCTCCCACATGCCTTTTGGTGAACACCAGACGTGGTTGCTTATTTTTTTCTTTAAGCAATGTCTTTTTGCTGGCCACTCTTCCGTAAAGCCCAGCTCTGTGGAGTGAACGGCTTAAAGTGGTCCTATGGACAGATACTCCAATCTCCGCTGTGGAGCTTTGCAGCTCCTTCAGGGTTATCTTTGGTCTCTTTGTTGGCTCTGATTAATGCCCTCCTTGCCTGGTCCGTGAGTTTTGGTTGGCGGCCCTCTCTTGGCAGGTTTGTTGTGGTGCCATATTCTTTCCATTTTTTAATAATGGATTTAATGGTGCTCTGTGGGATGTTCAAAGTTTCGGATATTTTTTTATAACCCAACCCTGATCTGTACTTCTCCACAACGTTGTCCCTGACCTGTTTGGAGAGCGCCTTGGTCTTCATGGTGCTGCTTGCTTAGTGGTGTTGCAGACTCTGGGGCCTTTCAGAACAGGTGTATACATACTGAGATCATGTGACACTTAGATTGCACACAGGTGGACTTTATTTATTTAGGGCTTCATAGCAAAAGGGGTGAATATATATGCATGCACCACTTTTCTGTTATTTTTTTTTTGAATTTGTTTAAATAAGTAATTTTTTCATTTCACTTCACCAATTTGGACTAATTTGTGTATGTCCATTACATGTAATCCAAATAAAAATCCATTTAAATTACAGGTTGTAATGCAACAAAATAGGAAAAACCCCAAGGGGGATGAATAATTTTGCAAGGCACTGTAGATGAGTAAGGGACCCAGCACAGAGCCCTCGCGGATACCCTGTATAACTGCAGCGGAGTCTGAGGTGTAGCCACTGAGGGAGATGTAGCGGGTCCGGTTTGTAAGGTGTGATTGTAGCCAGGAGCAGTCAGAGCACATACATAAGTGATCCCTGCGAGGGTTGAACCCACGACTTTGGCATTGCTAGCTCCTTTCCCTTACCAGCTGAGCCACATCTTGCCTGACAACTCACCCTGAACTTAATTCTGCTGCTCTATTAAAGATTGCTACATACATTGTTTGAATCTGCCATCCTAAAAAACAAATTATTCAGCGATTGGATCATCTCTAACAAATCAGAGTATCAAAGTTGATAAAGTCAAAATGCAGGCTGGCTCTGGCCCAACCCATCAGTTTCTGGGACCAATCACAATGCTCAGAATTTGTTCGCATTCTAGAAATTGTAGGGGAGGGAGGCAAATCCAGACTCATGGTGGAGAAGAAACATCAGTTTGGCCAGAGCAATATGGATGGTAGCCAGGCAAGAGCCACACAACACATTATTTATAATACATACACAAAAACAGAAGTCAGTCAGTAATAGTTTATTTTTCACTTTAAAGAAATACAAAAAGACTAAATAGAAACTTTTAGACTGTTGTTCCAGGAAAAACAATGCATTTTAAACAACCAAACATACCTACAGTAGTAGACTACGCTGAAATGCTGTTCATCGCTAGAACCGGCAATAGACTTAGAATGGAGAACCGGGTTCTCGACAATCACTTTGAAGCATTAATGAGAAGAATAGAATGATAAAGTACTGTAAAAGGAAACAAATAGGAATATAAAGAAATCAGGAAAGTCGTAAACACTGACGTGATCCCACATACATTTTATTGAAAACACAGACAATGTTTAGATCCAGCTAGGACCATTATGTTATCTGGGATCACAATGTCTGTCTCAAAATCACAGTGAGAGCATATCAGTTGTGGACATGCTTTCTTTCTTTACAATAATACAGTACTGTTGTGGACTTATTCCATTAAATGTAGCGTTACTGAAAGAGCTGACTGACACAAAATACACATTTTAGGCATTTAAAATATGCCTAGAAACAATGCCTGAAACAAACCTTGTAGTCAAGTATGAATGGTACCCAGTTCGATAACGACATTCTTTTAAATCTTTTTTCCCTCTTTCTTACAAAACAGTAAAATCTAGCTTCAAACGTTCAAGTGCCTCAGAAATGTGCAACAAAAGTGCTTAAAGACAATCAAGCTAAAATTAGAGAACTCTTTCAAATGAACCACATTTTTCAAACTAAATCTAGTCAAAGCCAAACAAACTCGGAAAGTTCGTCTTCTCTCCTCCATTCAACACTTCCTTTAAATTAAAACGACTTACAATGAAAAACTCAACATACAATTAAGTTTGGTACAAAACACAAACGATTATATGCAGTTCTGATAGTCTTTTCTTGACATGAATCCCTTGATCAGAGTAGCCTGTAAAGTCTAGATGCTGTAGGCTAAAGTTTGAAGAGAGTGTCACACACACACACACCCACCCACCCACCCAAGGAAGTGTAGAGTACAACTTCTTCCTGTTCCAAAGCTTCCTGGTATTCCCAGAAAGAGGAGATTCAAAAATCTCAATATTCGCCGGGATTGGAACATTGGTCGGTATTCCCGGGATGGGAACGTCAGTCAACATTCCTGGAACGCTTTTATTCCTAGGACTGTGTCCAGACCTCATTGGCCCAGGTGTAGTTGTGTCGGAGCCAGCGGCGTGCGGTGTGTGTGTCGACCGTGAACAGCTGTTCCTGACAAGAGTTGACCGCTTTGTAGTGGACGGTCAGTTTAGGGTTGGGGACGATCGCTGCAGAGAGGAGGCGACTGCCTGCCGCCAAGTACTCACTCTCACGGTCTCCTGTTCTGTAGAGGTAGAGCGGGGGAGAGAGACCCATTAGTATGTTTAGGTAACTGCCAGTCCTAGACACTCACTTTCAGTCTCCAGTCCTAAAGGAAAACGCATGCGGGCACACAAACACACATCTGCTCACCTCTTGAGTGTGATGATGATGGACTGTGGTGTGTCTGTTGTGTTGAGGATGGTTGTAGCGTTAAGGGTGAGGACCATCTCAAAGGCCAGAGCTAACTCCATCTCCCCCAGGGAACAGGGAACGGTCAGGGCTAGAGAGCCTGGCACGGACTTCACTCCAGGGTAGTAGCCTAGACACAGGGCCTCTGAAACACAAACACACACTTGTCGCTTTCAAACTAGTGTTTTCTAATTTAAAAAAAATATATAAATCTTATTTTTTATAGAAAACAAAGCATGGTTATCTAGTGAGTAATAGACTCACGTTTGAAGAGAGCTCTAGCCCGTAGCCAGATGTTCTGCTTGCCCAGTTTGTGCAGCAGAGTGTGCAGCAGAGGAGGGTCCACAGCCAGGCTCTTAGACAACATGAAGTCCAGCGTGTCTGAGGCCACAGTCATAGTCTGTCTTTCCACACATGACTTGAGGTGACCATTGAACAGACAGCCGTAGATGGAGATGTCTGCTAGGTCTGGGAGAGAGGGTCACACACACACGGTTGGTGATGTCAAATAAATGTGCGACTCACTGGTGCCTCTCTTGGGCCAGGTAGGTTGGTGAGACGGTTGGGGTGTGTGTGTACCTGCAGGCTCCTTAAGACCAGGCAGGTTAGTGAGGACCTCCAGTGTGTCTCTGTGGGATGTTTTCTCAGCTAGTCGAACCAGAACTGTTGTCCTCTCCACTACGTCCTCCACCGAACACGGCCACACACACGAACTCAGGAACCACTCGTTATCTACAACACACACACCAGAGGTCTGAAATATCACACACACCTTGTTCAATCGCCTGAAACTTGATTACCTCTGTGTGTTTTAAATGTTTACCTTGGAGTGTGTGAATGTGAAAGAGCTTGTTCGTTACCTCGGAGAGTGTTGAGTGCCCCCTCTACACTGTCGCTCCTGAGGAAGAGTTCTGTAGCTATTGTGACCAGGCGACAGCGAGAAGCTCCATCCTCATTACCGAACAGTCCCTTCAGAGTGGAGTAGTTTACCTTTAACCTGGACAACACCTCCACCAGCTTCCGGCCCTTCACATACACAGAGAACATCCCACCTGGATCAGACTCGCATCCACACCAATATTACATACCACATCAGCTACACCAGCCTTTGACCTAGAGTGTGAGAGAAACACACACAGTTACCTTGGCCCATTGTTGTGTCTTGTGGTATCTGAACATGAGAGAGACTCCTATTCTCCCCAGGAAGCTCTTGATCAGACCATCATCCCAGTCCTCTGTCTCCTGGTACACTGGAACAGAGGAGAAAACTAACTTCTGAAGAAAAATAAAAACGCAACAATTTCAACAGTTTTACTGAGTTACAGTTCATATAAGGAAAATCTGTCAATTGAAATAAATTCATTAGGCCCTAATCTATGGATTTCATATGACTGGGAATGGGCACAGCCATTGGTGGGCATAGGCCCAACCACTTGGGAGCAAGGCCCACCCACTGGTGGCTTATCTCAGACGATCCCGCAGGTGAAGAAGCCGGATGTGGAGGTCCTGGGCTGGCGTGGTTCCTCGTGGTCTGCGGTTGTGAGACCGGCTGGACATACTGCAAATTCTCTAAAACGGCGTTGGAGGCAGCTTATGGTAGAGAAATGAACATTCAATACTCTGGCAACAGCTCTGGTGGACATTCCTGCAGTCAGCATGCCAATTGCACGCTCCCTCAAAACATGAGAAGTCTGTGGCATTGTGTTGTGTGACCAAACTGCACATTTTAGAGTGGCTTTTTATTGTCCCCAGCACAAGGTGCACCTGTGTAATGATCATGCTGTTTAATCAGCTTCTTGATATGCCACACCTGTCAGGTGGATGGATTATCTTGGCAAAGGAGAAATGCTCACTAACAGGGATGTAAAAACATTTGTGCAAAACATTTGAGAGAAATAAGCTTTTTGTGCGTATGGAACATTTCTGGGATCTTTTATTTCAGCTCATGAAACCAACACTTTGCATGTTGCGTTTATATTTTTGACCAGTATAATATCATCCCAGTCCTCGGTCTCCTGGTACACTGGAACAGGAGACAAACTAATACATTCTTATTCATACATTATCAATGCTCACAGACCTGTGTCTGTCTCTGTAGTGTCTCACCTGTCTCAGTGAAGGAGGCAAAGGGCAGGGCCAGTCTGTCTTTGTCCCCCTCGAGCAGCGCTATGGCAACGCAGCCGCTGAAGTGCTGTAATTCGACAAGGCTTCTGTGGGAGTGGCATATGGAGCGGAAGACTACGCCCAACCTCCCCCAGTCCTCCTGCTGGGAACACAACTAGAGGGAGGGAGGGAAAGAGTGGAGGAAGAGGTGAGAGAAATGTGCCAACATTTTTACATTTAGATCAAAACAAGCAACAGAACTAGCAGAGAGAGACCGAAAAATAAAGAAAGTAATGGAGAGATCTCACTGCCACCTCCACGAGACCGTGGGCCAGACTCAGCGCTTCAGGAGTGGGCGCTTCAGTGGTCGTCGACCTGGAGCGATGGACACATCAAACAGCCAATCAACCAACACCAATGACAAGATTACACCTGGGGTGTGTTCAGTACAGAAAAACAGTGTGCTGTGTTCAGTACAGAAAAACGGTGTGCAACGTTAAAAATCAACGGAAACAGTACTGGACGACCAGTTGAATAACAGTGTGATTATATGGCGGCCCAGAGGGAGATTGTGTATGGTGCATGAGTTTTGCGATTTCAAGATGGCCACAACCATTTTGATCAGCCTAGCGTCCTTTCCAGGGGGGTGTACTTGTACAACAAGCGGTCTCACGCTACAGAAACAGGAGATCTGCTCCTAGGAGCCGAAGGCTACTTACTTTATATTGATCAGGCGACACCTCGCCACACCCCACCAAACGTGCCTCAAAGGCTTTTGAAGAATGGTGCGCACCGTTTTGGGGAAAAGTGTTGTTCAGTACAAACCGCCACGCAACGTAGTAAATTTTGAATCGAACTGAACGTACCCCTGGGTTGCTCAACCAGTCCCAAAACAGCTCCCAGCACGGGCTTGGGTTGCCAGGTACAGGACTGACCCGAAGGTGTGTGTGTAAGATGTATGTAAAGTGTGTGTAAGATTAAGATAGACTCACCTGTGGTTGCCAGGTTTGGTTGTGTAGTTGCCAGGTGAGTCTGTTGGGTGGTGTTGTGGCGACTGAAGGAACATGTGTAGGACACGCTCACATTGGTCCACATTTAACCCCAAGCCTGCATCTACCATCTGAACTCACACCATTTAGATCAGCAGGTCATACTCAAAACATAATACAAATAAAACTGACATCAAAGAACAAGTCAGCTTCAGTGCGCACACACACCAGAGGAGGCTGGTGGGGGGAGCTATAGGAGGTAAGGCTCATTGTAATGGATGGAATGGAATAAATGGAACGAAGTCAAACATGGTTTCTATATGTTTGATACCGTTCCATTTATTATATTCCAGCCATTACAATGAGCCTTTCCTCCTATAGCTTATCGCACAAGCCTCCACTGACAGACAGACACACCTTAGTACCTTAGAGGTGAGTTGAATAAGCTCAGGTAAAACGGATTGGTCTTTCTCCCTCACATAGTCAAACAGAGCCAGGAGAAACGCTGGACTGGGCTAGATGGGGGAGAGAGGGCAAAAGAGAGGAGTGGGACATAGTCAAATAATATAAGTTTGCGTTGCTGACTACTAGGGGTGTAACGGTACACGTATTCGTACCGAATCGTTCGGCACGGGGACCTTGGTTTGGTTCACACCGTGAACTAGTACTGTACGATGTCTAGTGGTGGTGGTCGATAAACCAGAATTGGAGGATACTCCATAATCGTTTAAATCTCCAGTTTGGCTTCACAGTAGATTACACCAGGTCTATACGGAACTGGTCTACTTGTAATTGGTCCGTTCGGAACGGGTCTCTCTATAATTTTTATTTATTTATGCATATCGGGCCCGGGTGGGAAATCCCCAGGTCCATTTCGGAATGGGTCCAACTTTTTGGAGCCGTGAAGACCTCTACTTGAGAGGCCCAACATAATGATCCCTGTCACAACATACAATCAAATCTAATTTGATTTAGTCACATGCGCCGAATACAACACGTGTAGACTTTATCGCGAAATGCTTACTTACGAGCATTTTCCCAACAATGCAGAGTTAAAAAGTAAGAAAAATGTGCTAAAAATGTAAAAGGAAATAGTAACACAATAAAATAACAATAATGGGAGGCTATATACAAGGAGTACCAGTACCGAGTCAATGTGCAGGGATACGAGGTAGTTGAGGTAATATGTACATGTAGGTAGGGGTAAAAGTGACAAGGCAATCAGGATAGATAATAAACAGAGTAGCAGCAGTGTTGGTAGTTGAGGTAATATGTACATGTAGGTAGGGGTAAAAGTGACAAGGCAATCAGGATAGATAATAAACAGAGTAGCAGCAGTGTTGGTAGTTGAGGTAATATGTACATATAGATAAACAGAGTAGCAGCAGTGTTGGTAGTTGAGGTAATATGTACATGTAGGTAGGGGTAAAGTGACTAGGCAACAGGATAGATAATAGACAGTAGCAGCAGCATGTGTGTGGTTTGTGTGTGTTCGTACCAGTAGGTTGTGGGCGGTGCTGACGTGCAGCACTGTGATGATGTCAGACAGAAAGCCAGCTTTGAGCAGAGCGGCCAGGAGAGAATTCAGGACCAGAGGGGTGTGGTAGACACCTGGAGGACAGGACTGGTAGTACGACCTAAACACTGACACTGAAGGGAGCGATGGGGGGAAAGGAGAGACAAGACACAGAGCGCAAGAGAGAGAGCAGGTTGAGAGCAGGACAGTGAAGGGTGAGAAAGATATCAGACAGAGGTAGATTCATGAACAACACAGATCGATGTCTGAGGAGCAATCAGCACTACAATTTCATTAAACATACACACACACTAACCTGCCCGCTGCAGACAGACAGGGTTGGAAGACCTGACAAACCTCAGCACCGTCTCCACACAGAACTAGAAGAAAATAAAACGCATGAAATAGTCAAGACATAAAACTCACATGGAAGGAATTCACAAGCCAACCAATGTACACTATCACATCTGTTAATCCTTCCACTTGGCATGAACATGACTACCAAAGCTCAAGCAGAGGGTGCTCTTACACCAGCAGAGTGCTATCAATTTGGACTACAGCTCAATTTCTTTTCCATAGCAAAATGTTTTTGCTATGCTGGGCCCTAATGAACAGGACCCAAGTGATTGTTGGATAAAGATTTTTTAATGTTTTTGCTACGCTGGGCCCTAATGAACAGGACCCAAGTGATTGTTGGATAAAGATTTGTAAATGTTTTTGCTACGCTGGGCCCTAATGAACAGGACCCAAGTGATTGTTGGATAAAGATTTGTAAATGTTTTTGCTACGCTGGGCCCTAATGAACAGGACCCAAGTGATTGTTGGATAAAGATTTTTAAATGTTTTTGCTATGCTGGGCCCTAATGAACAGGACCCAAGTGATTGTTGGATAAAGATTTTTAAATGTTTTTGTTACGCTGGGCCCTAATGAACAGGACCCAGGCAGTAGCAGCCTACCTTCTCGTCCCCTTTCTTGGGCACATGGAGGAACCAACAGGTCTTATGGAAACAGTCCGACATGCTGAAATAATACTTGCAATACTGAGGGAGGAGAGAGGGAGGGAATGGAGGAGGGAGGGAGGGAATGGAGGAGGGAGGGAGGGAATGGAGGAGATAATTCATCAAAGCAGTTTTTTTAAACTGATAACTACGACACTCACAATTCATAAAAGTATATTTGTATAAAGACAAATATGAGCAGTAGTTTTATTATGAGAGGTAGTTACACTGTCAAAGTGTCTTTGAGGGCCGGTGTCTGGTGCCGCTGGGTCTTTACATGGGGCTGTGGAACAACACAGGAGTCAGTTCTTTCTGCTTTCTCAACGGCTTCCCATCAAAGCTGTACAGATACAAGTTTTCATTATGTATTGTGGATGTCGTGTGTGTGTGTGTTCCCCCTCACCGTTGCACCAGGAGTCCCCAGTCATCAGATAAGGCAGTGTGCTCTTAAATGAGTTCAGAGTCTGGATGGCCTGGGCCCTGCAACACACCATCACCACCATAATCATCATTCTCCTTCACCACTACCCTCATCAACCACCACAACCATCATCATCTCACTGATAGAAGTGCAGTGGTATACATAAACCAATATCATGAAAGGAATGAAGTCTTGATGAACAGCACACTAGCGTTGCAGAGAGAGCAGTAGAGGTGTAGTGTTTATGTTCGAGTTGGCCTACATGATGTAGTGTGTTGTGGTGGTCAGTGGAACGGTCAGGTACCTCTCAGAGATCTCTTCCTTCATAGGGCTGTAGTTGTAGTCGCAGTCAGTTCCACCCTGCTCAAACACACAATACAGCAACGTCACAATTTTACTTATTCAAAAGCAGTTTGTTTCCTGAATTGACCCCAATCGTGCTTTATGCTATGAGCATCCCTCCCTTTGCATATATAGATATATCTGTAAATTGTAGATCCTCACCGTACTGTAAATCAGTTTATACTTCAGAGTTTTGTTTACATTTACATTTTAGTCATTTAGCAGACGCTCTTATCCAGAGCGACTTAGTTAGTGAGTGCATACATTTTTCATACTGGCCCCCCGTGGGAATCGAACCCACAACCCTGGCGTTGCAAGCGCCATGCTCTACCAACTGAGCTACAGGAGGGTCACTGTATTTATATTGTATATTCTATGTGTCTGTATTCTGTTTGTACAACGTCTATTGCTGGCAGCACCTATTCACGGAGTCAAATTCTGGGTATTTGTAAATGTACTTGGCGAATAAAGTGATTCTGATGCTATGAGCTGACCTGGTCTGGATGTAATGCGTGTAGAGTAGGGGGCCAGCTGTTGCTGTGGACCAGGGCAGGCTTAGGGTTGGGGCTGGCTACAGGTCTCCAAGATCGTCCTGCACTCTCCTCATCTAAACCCACACACATTAAAAATAGGTTTACAATCTCTCATATTAAAGGTAATTATTGACCGACAAAAACAGAATTATCAGAATTTCCCACTAGTAGGTTTTCAGTTTATATTGTGATTGTGTGTGTGTGTGTGTGTGTGTGTGTGTGTTAGCACATTTCTATTGACCCTTTTAGAGGCACAAACCTTTAATGTGGATAATTATTCTCTGGTCGGTCTTAGAACCAGGAGGCCCATCTGTACCAGTGGTGGAGCTATAAGACAAAACAGAGAGAGAGATCATTTTCACAAAGTCCTGTATAAGAAGTATCTAACTAATGGACTTCCAATCTTATTTCCAAATTCAAACCTAACACGATCATACCCTTTCTCAGTGGCCCATGAGGGACCTGCACCCCTGAGTGGTAGGGCTCTCCCTGCCCCGATGGTGGTCCTGGTTCTAGGGCCCCTTCCTCCCCTGGTTGACCCCGGCCTCGGGTCACTGTCCTGGGGCACGCTGCCAAACAGCTCTGGGTCATCCAGGAGAACATCCACAACAAGGATGTCCTGCTCGTAGGCTGTGAACTCGTCCAAGAGGTCAGCTTTGGGGTCGCTAGCCAGCTTGACCTTTGACCCTGCCCTGACCTCTATTTCCTGGTGTTGAGTGGGTGACCCGAAAGAGGAAGGAGTGCCGGCTTCCTGGTTCTCAGACATGACCTTAGTACAGGAGGTGGACTGATTATGATGGTCGGCATCATCATCATCATCATCATCATCAGTACAGGGTTGGGTTTTAACAACAGGCTCTAGTCTCCCATCTCCAGAAGACTGTGATTGCCCCTCTTCACCACATGTCCCATCATCTTCATCTCTACCATCATCCTCCTCATCTTCATCAGTGGAGGAGGCCTGGGCCTGTGTTCGAACACCTACTGCACTCGACAACTTCTCTTTCTGATCTACACTGTCATCATCCTTATCATAGTCCTCTTCTGAGTAGCTCGGTGTCTGCAGCATCAGGCGTGTTATGCACAGCACCGAGGTTTGACCTCCAGGAATCCCAGGCAGCCCATGGGCGAGGGTACTGATCATGGCCAACTCAGCCCCTCCCTCTTTGGGCTTGCTGAGCGGCGAGCTCCCCTGTCTGCTCTTCTGCTCTGAACGCTGCTGCTCCTGCTTCTCAGGGCTGGAGGACTCACTGCCTGGCAAAACCAAAACCTCCAGTTCATCCGCTCTTTCATCTCCACTCTGAGCCGCCTCTCCTTCCATTTCATCCCCCTCTCCTCTTCTCTGCACCTCCATTCCCTCTCCCTTTCTTTTTTCTTGAGGCAGAAGAAGAGAGGAGCTGGATGAGAGAAAGGAGGATACAGCTGAACGACAGGAGAAGTCTGGTGGAAGAGGGGACGACTCTGCTGAGTGAAATGAGTCTGTCTCACTGTTCACAGCTGACGGGGAGGAGGTTTCATTGAACATAGGACACAGGTGAGGCTGAGGCTTCCTCCTAGGAGAGGAGGGTGGAGGGGAGGAGGGAGTAGGAGAGGAGGAGGGAAGGGAGGATGGATTAGGAGAGCAGGATGTATGGGACATCTCCATGTTTCGGGATGCAGATGTGAAACGCAGAGGAGAGGGGGTGGAGGCTGTGTCTATGTCCATGTCACTACCGAGGCCTATAGGAGAGGGGGTGGAGGCTGTGTCTATGTCCATGTCACTACCGAGACCTATAGGAGAGGGGGTGGAGGCTGGGTCAGGTGAGGGGGTGGAGAAGTGGGTGGTGTCCGTCTTACCGCCGCCACTGACTTTAGGTGGAGAAAAGGTTGAGACAGAGTCCGTTTTAGGTGGCGAGAGGCTAGAAACGGTGTCTGTGTCAGTTTGAGAAAGGCTGGAGGAAACAGAAGGCGCTGTATCAGTCTCAGTCTGGTCTTTGGATAGGGTGAGGAGGGTGGAAGTTTTGGGTGGAGGGGAGGTGAAAGCTTTGTTGCAATGGAGACCCCTAGTTCTGAGTTGGGACTGTGGCTTCTTCTTACACAGGGGAAGGAGGGATGGGTACGCCTTGCTCGAAGTGTCAGGAAAGCGTAAACAATATGTCACGCTCTCATCCTCCTCTTCTCCTCCTATTCCGTTCCTCACGTCTTTCTCTTCTCCTTCCATCATGTTTCCCTCTCCCTCTTTTCCATCTGCCTTCATCCCATTCCTATGACCCGAGACCTGGTAGCTTGTCTGTGGAGTGTATTCAGAGAGTGTACAGTGAGAGGGAAGAACTGTGGTTCTCTCAGCCCTCACCAGTGAGTCTCCATTTCCGTTCACCAGGGCTCCATTAACACAGCCCACAACTGATGACTCAGACTCCGCGGGGGGTGTCCGTGTTCCATTAGCGTCGAGGACTGATGATGTCACAGAGAGTGACAGTGCAGAATCAGGTTTGGGGAAGGGCCAGGAGAGGTAGGTGCGTGCACAGGACAGGTGCAGCCTCTTCATGTAGGCCACCACTCTACGACAGGAGAACAGGTCTTGGTCCTCAGTGTCGCTGTCTGAGTCTCCTTCCACTACGTTCTCCTCGGACCAGGGAGACAGCAGCCCGTTGGCAGGGGGCGCCAGTGACTTGTCACCTCCCTCGGGCCCTCCCCTCCGGCCACCATTTTGCGTCACCGAGTGGTGTAACCTCACAGGAGCGTCTGTAGCGTTGCTATGACTACGACTGACATCACTCGTGTGTAAATGCGGCGGGACGTCACATGGCATCCTACTGCCTCCGAGGGAAGCCGTAGCTATTCCAGAATTCCGTTCTGGTTCGTTTGGACTAGAATGTTTTTGCTCCTTTGTGTCTCCGTGGACATCTCCCAACCTCATCCGCTTAGCGACTGGCTTTCCTGTTTCTACGACATCACTTCCTGTTCCCGAGTCTTCAAGAATGCCTCCGTCACGCGTTCCAACCCCGCTCGACCCCCTGCTCACCTGCTGCTTACCTAGTAAAAGACAAGCAAAACCATTGGTGGAGGCTTCGGACGTCCCGCCCTTCGAGGCGGTGAGAGATGCAGAACAATTGGACTCAGTCAATCCATGCTCCCCAGTGTGCATGCAGTGGTGATTTTCAGTCGGCGTCAGAAGCTGACCACTCTTCCCACACTGAGAACAGTGATGCGACTTCTTTCTACCAGGGCGCTCCCCAGTCTTCTCACTCCCATGGCTCCCTCTGCTGCGACAACTAGGCCCTAACAGACTAACTTCTCTCCGATAGTCCCGCTTGAAACAATGCACCACTTTGGAAGTCAGGAGCTGGGCAGGCAGCAGGCAGGAAAAGTCCCCAACCGAGATGTCACATACTTGAGCTACGTCACAGAGCTTGACCTTGGGGTAACTCCCTATCCAGATCACCAACTTCTTGGGGGCCTTAATGGTGGAGGTGAAGTTCTTCCTGGTTTTAACCCTGACCTTAGGCTGCTCAAGCCCTACTACTCTGCTGAGGACGCTGGCCCTGCCTCTGCCTGTCACTCCAACTGGCTCAACCCTGGGCAGCTTCCTTCTCTTAGGGGGCGTGTATTTAATGTCGCCACACAGGGCGCAGCACAAGGTTTTGACCACTCTCCTGACTGACCGCTGCAGACAGGATGGCGAGCTGACGGGGGGTTTGGGGCGACGGCGTGTAACAATGGGACTCCTATCAATATCTGGAAGCGGAGATGAACACTGTCAGTTGATGTATGTTTTTTTAGGCTAACTATGGGTGTATCTCAATAGTTTCAACTGGCATCCTCTCCTTGACTCCTCTCCTTCATTTAACCTCATTTGAATATTTAGAATAGGGGACAATAATATGGTGGACGCCTACCAGGAAAAGGCCTACACTTGTCCAGTTCTTTGACATCAGTGCAGATGAAGGGAAGGAGACGAGGGGAGAAAAGGAGACAAGGAAGTCACTTTCCACTATTGAGTTGCAACCTATTGGCTAAGTAGTCTGATAATGCATCTACTTCAACCAATGACATATATTAACCCTGGATTGCTGTTGCTATGTATTGGCCATTGAGAGGCTTTGACATCACCGGTTGGCTATATTGGCACTCCTTAGTAGGAGTAGTCCTCCATAGGAATGAATGGAATTCTACATTATTTCAATTAAATGTTTCAAGGCCAAAATTACATGTATTTAAGCATTTTTGTTGTAGTGGGGACAGTAACATTAGTAATCTAAAAAAATTACTTTAAGGAAAATGTTTGTATATTTTTTTGTATGTTTTATTTGTATGTTTAGCTCACATAATATAATTTAAAAGTATGCATTAAAGTGTCTAATAGAATAAACGTGTCAAAAATGTAGACATTGTAGAGTGTTGCAAAGATGGCTGCGCGGTGGCTTCAATACAGCGCCCCCTGTCAGTCATCGAGGGTTTATACACATTGACTTCAACTCATTTTACCATAAATCACGTTGTGATTAATTGGAATCTAGCTAACATCATTGCACATAAGCTAGTACTACTACTAAAACTAACATACCATGCCAGTTACAATCAATTGAAATCAGGCTCAAACGTTATAAAAGTTACAACTAGATAACTTTTCATGGGTTGATCAAAGCTGAATTACACCTAGAGAGACTTGTCAATGCATTAATGGTCTAGCTACTGTGTTACTTCCATGAAATACAAATTCATGCAACTTGAACGCTATCTAGCCAGTTAGCCATGGCATGTGAAAGAAATGCCTGCTAGTCATCAACTGTCTCCTGGCAAGCAAGAAATGCAGACTGCGTGGAGCACTGCATTCATAATGTAATGTTGGGTCGACAAGGTAACAGACATTCCACAAGCAACAGCTAGCCTCAACATTGACATTCAATCATTGCTGAAAGTAGAGTTAGCGCCAGAGTGTGCGGTACTGATAACAAGCCAGCTAGCTAGCTAGCTAGCTTAAATGCTAGTGGGCTAGCTAGCTAGACCGAGCATGTTGAGGCAGGCAAGCTTGCATATGAAACCAGTCAATCACATTATCGATGTAGTGCTCCATTCAATACGGTAAAATTGTAATAAATTAATCTTACTTGAAATCCCATTAAGTAGAGAGAATGCACTTTTTACGGCGTTGCCAGAATCCACTTCGATAGGTTCTGCAACTCTTCGTTCTGTACCTGCACTTGTAGCTGACGTTGCAGATCGAAAGTTTTCAACTTCAAACTTTCCTTCCCTCCCTTGCTCTATTCGCAGTTTCAAAGCAGCACTCACCCGGTTATTTGCGGCAACATTGGTTCTTTTTCGTGACTGAGCAGGAGACTGCTCTTCAACTGCCTTGTCTGGCTCTAAACAAGAGACGTTCCTCTTGCGCTCTATTGATCGCGTTCTTCTCTGCACAGATTTTCTAGTTGTCTTGGTCAATGTCGCTGGCGGCTTGCCAGCAGCAAAATCTCGAGTTTTGACAGCTGCACGGCTCGCTCTCACGCAGGACTTCACCAATAGGTCGCTCTTTATGTAATAAGAAACGTGCCTATAATTTTTACCCTGGGAAATTGACTGGTTAAAAGTATTGGTTCTATCAGTCAGTTTGTTGTTGGAGCCCCCTCTGCCAAAGCACACCGCGAACTGCAGCCTGCAACATAATTATTTATTGTGCCCCGCTGTCACCCCATTCGACCTAGTTGCAGATTTACTTATCATGTGAGGTCCCCCGACTTTAGCCTGGACATATTTGCTTCTAGTATATGGCCCATCTACTTTCACCTCAAAAGTGATTCCCAGTGCTCAATTGCCCATTGTATTTAAAATAATTTCTCTTGGACAGCGCCATACCTTCACATTCAGTCAATGGTGGTGACCTCTGTTCCCCACTGTCTGCTGGCACCGCAGTTGTTTTTTCCACAGCTGTCTGACTCGCAAGGTGCCCTTTTTCTGTCCCCAAGTATGGGGGGAAATTATGATTTTCGGATTTCAAGACTGAGGATTCAGTGTTCCCCAAAACAGAATCATCCTTCGTTTTCACTTCGCTGTTTTGTAAAGAGCATTCCAGTGTTTTCCCGATGCGTTTAGGATCGCCATGTGTTTCGCCGGTGGCTTGGTGCAACACATTGAAGGGCCGTCTCCGTCTGGGCACGCTTGGCAGTCCATTATTGCCTTCAACTTTCAGCACGTTTCTATTTAATTTTACCCTCCCTGTAGATGGGGGCATGGTCGCATTTCAGAGCTATTTATCAGTGAACAGTGAAAATATTTAATTTGCAGTTTTCTCGAATGCCATTCGAGTTTGGTCAACTTTGCTGAAAAATCTGTTCGAAAGGTACCTTTGATAGAAAAAAATCTAAACCAAAATTGGTGTCACTTCTCACGAATAAACTTAACTTAGGCCACGGGAAATAGCATGCATGGACTAGAAGTATTTGTCGGCTGATAAATAACACAAATGTCAAATTCAGACTAGCTGAATGCGAAAATCGCCCCGTTCAATTTCGATGCAAACTCAGAATTAATAGGGCTAAACAATAAGAATGTCACCGAAAATAGTAGCCCTACACGTTTTGTTTACACAAATTCTGCTTACAAACAGCTCTGGTTTTAAACGTTGTTCTCCGTTGTCGTTAATTGAAAATGTGACGTAGAGCCTGTCCAGGCTAACGCTCCCGGCCTCATTTCCCATTTAAATCACACCTGCTGTTTCAGGGGAGCTTGATGCTATTCTACTGGGCATGCGCAAAGCCACGAACGTCTAGACATGAAGTCTGAATTTGCAGTTTGCGGATCTGTGATTTGTAGGCCTAATAATGCAAAGTGCATGGTCAGAGTTGAAAACGTGAAGATTTTCCGACATCGCTCTGATTTGATTTGTGGTCAAACTGACATCAAGTTTGTTAGATACTGTAGCCTAGGCTACATTTTTCGTTTAGTCTATCCTATGAGAAAAAGTCAAACATAATTAATAATTCAACAACAGATAGGCTATGAGTTTGAATGCTGAGCATGATCCCATTATTCAAAAGTTGTCGATGGATGCAAGTTAAAGCCCCAAACCAGAGAAGCTACTAGAACTATGCCTATACACCTCACATAGATTACATGGCTACAAAGACTAAATGGATACAACACAGGACTACAATGCAATACATCTTTATTGTCCATGAAAGGCAGTTTCACAAGACCATTGAATAATAATAAAAAAAAATATTAGGCAGAGATCTGTATATAATGACGAGATGCTCATGTCTCCGCCATAACAATAGGCAGATTTTTGTCAGATTTTGGCGAGAGCAAACGTCTCACTTCGTGTTTTCCTCTCTGTACTAGGATAGCTGTAGCAGACAATTAAATGATTTAATCATTATGTCAAACAAATCAAAGTGTATTGGCCACGTGCACAGGGTACAGTGAAATGCTTGTTTGCTAACTCTCCTCAACAATGCAGTACAATAACAACATCAATACAACAGTCCCAAAATTACAAGTAGTAATAGAACGTAGAAGAAAAAAAGGGTAATAAAAACTATTATGAGAAGTATGTAGGCTACATGATAGAATATACAGTAGCCTATGATTGAGTTATACAAATGAAGACTGTTTAATACAAGTAGTAAAGGGAGTAAAGTGACTTGGTATAGCAGCATAAATAAATAGTAATAATAAATAGTAACAGCAGAGGTGAATGTGCGTGAGTGCGCGTGTGCGAGAGTGTATGTGTGTGTGTGTCTGTGTCTAGCAGGCCAGATAAGGGCCAGGTTGTGCCAGATTGTGTCACATTAACCTTGTATCCTCATTGACCTTTTGATTATTGTCCAGTCATGTGGTCGAGTGCTGCAAGTAAATACCTATTTAAGCTGCAGCTGTTTGCACAGTCAACTTACACACAGCCTATGGGCCGTCTGCAACACCCTACACTACCATTCCATTCCATTCCATATAACCACAACATACATTACACAACACTAGAGGTCAGGGATAGAGAGGGCCCCTTGTGTTGGGATGTAGCCGCCACCCTCTTCACTGCAGAGGCCACGGGTGAAAGGTATTTGACATATGTATTTAACCCAGCTCTGGAAGTCAGGGGTCAGGATTGAGGGGTCATAGGTGAGAGGTCAAGGAGAGACCCTGGTGTTGGGAAGTAGCCGGTCTCGTCACCACAGCGGCCTGATTCACAACACCAGCTGCCCCGCCCTACCAGACCTGACCAGTAGATGGTGCTCCAACTGCCCCGCCCTACCAGACCTGACCAGTAGATGGTGCTCCAACACCAAACACAGTGGTCTTCTGTCCTGAGGGAAAGGGAGAAGAAAAGAGGGATAGAAATGAGTGAGAGAGAAAAATGGAGAGGGACCACTAAATTCCCTATAAGCTCTAATATGACTGAAACATAGAGAGAGAGAGCGAGAGAGAGTGAGAGGGAGAGAGAATAAGAGAGAGAGAGAGAGAGAGAATTCCACAAAGAATTCGAAAACAAACCCAATTTTGATAAACTCCCTTATCTACTGGGTGAAAAACCACAGTGTGCCATCACAGCTGCAAGATTTGTGACCTGTTGCCACAAGAAAAGGGCAACCAGTGAAGAACAAACACCATTGTAAATACAACCCATATTTATGTTTATTTATTTTCCCATTTGTACTTTAACTATTTGCACATTGTTACAACACTGTATATATACATAATATGACATTTGAAATGTCTTTATTCTTTTGAAACTTCTGAGTGTAATGTTTACTGTTAATATTTATTGTTTATTTCACTTTTGTTTACTATCTACTTCACTTGCTTTGGCAATGTTAACACACGTTTCCCATGCCAATAAAGCCCTTAAATTGAATTGAATTGAATTGAGAGAATAAGAGAGAGTGAGAGACAGAAAGACAATAAGAGAGAGAGAGAGAGATACAGAGAGAGAAAGGGAGACATGAGCCTTCCTAGCTCGGGTGTGACATTCCTCTCACAGCCAGGGAGAATCCTGGGAGATTCTGCTGCATCTCCTTAACTGACAGGCTTTTACCCACAACCCCTTGCTCTAGTGCCATCACACTCTGAGGCCTGACACGACACCCATCGCTCCCTATGCAGATTTTATAATCAGGATGTGTGTGGGGGGAGAGAGGTTAGGGGAATATAAGCTTTTACTTTGCATTTCAAATGATTGGGGATTAGTACTCGTATGAGATAAATGGGAAGAGAGAGAGTCAGCTCAAAGTCACAAGTCAGTCAGCCGCTCGTCTTACTGTAGTTGACTTTCATGCACCATTTAAAATCTCATGACTTAAAGGAATCGGAAAAGCGAAGCAGCTAAAAACGTAGTTAACGGTAGTTAAGTTCTCATAAGTTCTCAACTTTACATTCTCCTCTCTATGTCTCTCTCTTCCTCAAGCACTTCTCAAACTCTCTCTGTCCACAATGAGGTCCCTAACATTTTTTGGTTGTAAACTGAGGGGTCTTGGTGCTTTATAAATGTTATGGTTTTAAAGAGCCTGTCAAAGAGCCTTCACATATTATAACTAGGGCCCAGAGCTTTTCTTGGTCAGGTCAAGTGACCTTAATTTAAAGAGCCATAGAGTTGCAGGATATTGCAGAGTATCACCATTAGAAAGACCTTGTTAATAATGAGCTTGGGTTTCAATACATCTCTGCTCTGCTCTCAGGAAGCAGAATCAAACAGGGAACTTGGCCTGCCATTCCATTTGTATGCTGACAGTCTTGTCCTAAGTTGAACCCGATCTGTTCCATTCATATATTCTCATCTACACACAGGCTGTTTTCAGTGTGTAGGAAGCAACCACGCTCGGATAATGACCAGTAACCTTGCCTGAGACCTGAAACAACAGAACGGTCTGACTCTGAACACAGACCAGAAGATTATAATGACAGAGAGTAGAAAACAGAAGAAGACATAATGATCAAACAGATCCCAACATGGAAATACCTTCCATGAATCCAGAATAACACAAAGTAAAGATGAGGGATGCTGCCTGCTGTCTGGTCATATGAGCTCAGTAGAAAGAGAGGGAGAGTTGATAGACAGACAGAGTTGATCATTAGTAATGTGTTAAATGGAGAGACAGACCCACAAGGCCATATAACTGCAGCTGTCTCAGTTGGGAATAGACTGTAATGATCGCTCACACACCCTCTAACCAGAGACAGACAGAGGAAATGTGTGTGCTTGTGTGTGTGTGTGTGTGTTTAATGTTATGTAAAAATGTAGACTTTCCCCCTGCATTCCCTTTATTGTATTGTATTGTATTGTATCGTATCATATCATATCATATCATATTGCATACTGTATTCCATTTAATTGCATTCAGTTTAATTAAATGTCATTACATTTGATTATATACCTGGCCAGTGTAGAGCTGGAGAGAAATGGAACGGACAAGGAACAGTTCTAGAATTCTATTAAATCACCCTGGATTCCACATTCTATGGTTGTTATAGAATTCCTTAAATAGCCCTTTTTTCCACATCCTATATGGTTGCCATGGCATCCAGCATCCAGCCTCCAGCTTTAAGAGAACGCCCACAAGCTTTTAGAAATGTGGACCTGTACTGTATAGATTCACACCGTTGTCTCTGCATGCAAGAGTGTCTAATAATACCTATAAAATACCCCCATTTGGTTATGATGATGCTGGTGATGGTGATGATGATGATGGTGGTTTTATGTATACATTTAGGGTTTTGTCATATGTGTGTGTAGGTTCTCTATTTCTCCATCTTTTCTTCTTCATGGTCAGTAGTTCAGTTGGGTGTTGGGGGGGGGGGGTGGGGTGAATAGGGTATTAACAATGCATATAGGCAGAGTTTGCCTGGACTATGTGTGTTTGTGTATTCCTCTAATGCCGAGTTTGTCCTGAATATCCCCTAAGAACTCTGAGAAACCTACTGTGAGATTTATAGGTGTGAAATCAATTAGTATGAGAGAGAAACGTCCTGTTATAAAACTCTCCCCATCAACCTACAGGGATATAGCCATCTTGTTTCGCCTAGCTCTCATACCGACTGGGTTTGAACCATCTGCACGACACAAAAGTGTGTCAGCCCACTGAGCTAATGCCCTTGGCATAGGTTCTAGGACCTAACGCAAGTATTCAGGTCTCAGGCAAGGTTACCCATTGCGCCATACACAGGAGAGGTGAACATAATATGGTGGATAGTCAGAGACTTACTGGGAAATTAGCTTTTAACTATCCGGTCCGATCCGGT